AGTGTAAATGTCCTTGTCTTCCGTGGCAGGTGTGGGTTGGCAGCTCTGGTGAGTGCCGGTGCGGAGCTCCGCGCGGGGCCGCGAGCGGCGGGTCAGCCCAGACAGCACTGCAGCTGGACAGAGACACCAGGGAGGGAGAGCGCATGTATGGGTGAGCCCTCTGTGCCCACCAGGCCTGTCTGGTGCTGCCAGCTGAGTGGGTGCAGAAAGGCCCACGTCACAGGCTCAGCACCCACCTCACCTTCCACCGCTATTCTCCGGCAAATGCACCCAACCCCCAGGAAAGGCCAGCGATGCTAGAGCTGAGACAGGGACGTCCAGGAGCCTCCAGGTGCCGGGACTCAGTGTCCGCACTCACCCACACTCATGCACACTCTTATACACGCACACATGCTCTCACATCCACACACACACTCGCACATTTTATAGCTCAATTCCAGTTGTGTCAACAAAGTGATATAAGATTCCATCCCCCATAGAAGATAAATGTCCATATGCCCGCAGCTACTATGAAATGCACTTTCACAGAGAATAGAAAGAAAAGTCTCCCATGGAGAATTCCAGAGTTCACGTGGTTACTCCACCATCAAAGACTCAGAACATGGCCCCTCCCCATTCAGAGCGGACTGTGCTTAGTGACCTCTCCAAGAGGAGAGCGCCAGAAGGGTGGAGGGTGCAAAGACTGGAGCAAGCCAACAGCCCTGCCTCAGCCAGGTGACACAGGTAGTGCAGGTGACACAGGTAGTGCAGGTGACACAGGTGGTGCAGGTGACACAGGTGGTGCAGGTGGTGCAGGTGACGCAGGTGGTGCAGGTGATGCAGGTGGCGCAGTGGCCCAGGTGGTGCAGGTGGCTCAGGGGGTGCAGATGGTACAGATGTCTGTTTGCTTATTTCTATAAATCTTATTGCTCTGCATCCAGTAATGCCTTCGAAAGAAAACCATAAAGGGGATGAGTTTGAACTCCGAACCTGCCACTACCCAGTTAGGGGATCTCCGCCAGCAGCCCTGGCATCTGCTATGGGTCTGCAGGGACGTGACAAGGGTGGGGAACGGGCACGCGCGTCTGGGTCAGTGGTTGTTTCTGCAGAGCCCTGAGAACGCGCCTGTGGTTGGTGACCAAGTGTAACCTTATTCCCGAGGGCCCACCGAGGCCCACACTAACCCCCTGGCCGCCAGCGTGCTGGTCAGGTTTTCTCCATGTTAGAGGTGAGCATTGAGGCTTCCTGCTGCCTCCCGCATCCTCTGCGTGGCCCTAACTGTGGCCCGGCCTCAGTGGCCCTAACTGTGGATCCAGCGCCCAGTGAGCCCATGCACAGGGATTAAGAAAACTGCTGTTTTGCGTCCTTCCTCCCAATGTCACGCCTCGCTCGCGCCATTATCCCAAGTCCGCTCCCCCAGCTCCCGCCGCGCGCAGCACACCTCACCAGGCACATTTCTGAAGGCTTCTACATTTTCTGCGGCTGCAACAGCCGGCTGTGCCGAGGGTCACTTTCTTCTTCTCCCAGGCCCAGCAGCGTCCCCTTCCTGGCCCTGCGCAGCCAGGTGAGGCCACTGGCAGGTGTCGAGGGCACTGGGTGCCCAGGAGTGGGCTGGGGCCAGCCCTGGATAGGGAACTGTTGATAATTCCTCGTCATCTTTAACACGTCTGCTGTCAGCATTTCCAGTTACAATAATCAATAGTTTTCACCAAGTTGTCAGAAGAGGGGGTTTTCTCCATGTTTCTGAAGCCAGTTTACCGAGTGCATATTTAGGGGCCTTGATCATCCTGTCACATCAAGACATACTTGTCTAGATCAAGGTCACATATGCATTCTCCTGTGTTTTCTTCTAGAACTTTCATAGTGTCAAGCTTTACACGCAGATGGTAGTCCATCTGTCCATTTTAGATAGATGCTCCGCTTGAGTGCGCCTTTTGCTTCTGTGGGAAGAGGCTGCTGCCCACACCCTGCAGAGGCTGCTGGACACTATGTGAGGGGCCTCTTCTCCCCATAGTGTCTTTGCATCTTCTGCATAAGCCTGTTGTCCATTTTTATCCTGGGCTATTCCGACACACGTTCTCTGACACAACTGAGCTATTTTGCATTTCTTTGCATGAACACCACACTGATTTGACAAGCACGGCTCCCTGTTGGTCTCAGAATCAGTCGGTGGCCGTTCTCCTTTCTTCTTTCTCAAAGATGTTTTGGGTATTCCAGGCCCTTTGCATTTCCAAGTGAATTTTAGAATCAGGTTGTCAATTTTTACAAATCATACTACAATATTACTTGGGATTACATTAAATTCATAGGTCAAATTGGGGAAAATTGATTTCTTAACTATGGTCTTCTCAATCATGAACACTGTGCGTCTTTCCATTTATTGGGGTTTTCTTTGATTTTTCTTAGCGTTGTTTGGTTGTTTGCAGCTTACAAGACTTTGAAATATTTTAATTCCTAATACTTTATCTCAAAGTATTTCATGCTTTTGATGATATAATAAATTATGTTGCCTTTAAATTTCCATCTCTGATTGTAATTGCTAGCCCTTGAAGCTTGTAATCATGTTTTATGAAAAGTTGATTGATGTGCTCTGCCTTCAGACTTCAGTCTTGCTGGAATCGGGGACCTGGTTTCTCCCTCTGATCCCTCTGCTTAAATGCTCCAATCAACTGAGCGAGTGATTGATTTGATCTTTATTTGCACAAGGATTTTTAGGACTGGCATCTGGAACAACCAGCACTTTGCTTTGCTTAGTCCTGGTTTATATGCTAGGAAAGGGGCCCTGCCCAGCCCAGCTGCTTCCGTCCACCACCACCTGGCACAGCTAACGCCACTCTCCACACAAAGCAGGTCTCCAGGACTCTAGCTACCACAAAGCTTGGAGAAGCAAACTGCTTAAAATATATGTAACTTTCATGTCTTCACTTACATTAAAATATGCGGTCAGGCTATTTGCACAGACACGGAAGACCAGCTTCTCAGAATCAATTATGAAGTCAGATGAGCCCAGGGTATCTTTTAGTGCGGAAACAGAAAGAATTGTCCGAGAAAGGACAGAAGCCTTCTGCCGGGGAATTTGGAAACAGCTCTGATGGCTGAAACTGGAGCAATTTTAGCAACCTATTGAATAACAAAAATACTGCAGTGTTAGCCACAGATTAAGTAGTCACGCTTCCATGCTGATATAAGTAAATAATTTTTAAAAGTCATGGAATATTTTTTCAAAATGCAGGAAAACATAAAACGATACTGACGCCACACAGTTCTGCAAGGTAAGGGCTGCTAATTTTGTTGGGTGAAAGTTTGCAGAGAAACAAAACCATGTCCTTACAGAACCGAAAGCACTCTCTCTGGATATTTATTAATTAAAAAAGGAAAAGTAATAATTCTGTGAGCCAGAAACCCAGCAATATCACTGTGGTCAAGAGAACAACTTTATTCCCAAAAATAAAACCCGACCACAGCACACACACTGGGATGAGGCTCCCGGGAGGGAATCCCTGGGCCGGATCCTCAGAACCCCTCACCTTCGTCAAATCAGCAGGAAACCTCAGGCAAGCCCAGGGAAAGGCACTTTCCACAGCATCCGTCGCCAGCACTCTTATGAAGCCCAAGGTCATGAACGTCCAACCCCCAAGCCTGGCCCTGCCCCAATCAAAATTTTAAAGAGGTGGAAAGACTGCTGGGGGCTGGAAAACTAAAGCAGCGTGGACGGAGCTGGAGCGGCTGGCGCTGAGCGAAATGAGCCGGAAGGAGAAAGACAAAACACCGATGGGGTCTCCTGTCTGTGGGACAGAGAGAAAAAGACAAAGGAACAGACACGCCCAAGCCAGCAGCGACCCTGGAAGTCGGACTGCAGAACTGAGGCGGCGGGAGGCGGGGGACAGCAAAGTGAGGGTTCAAAGGGCGGGTGCTTGGCGGGGGGTGTGGTGTGGTGGCAACACCTGAAGGGGGGGGGCTGTATCTCTAAATCACCCGCAGTGTTGGAACTAAATCTACGTTAGCTCAAAAACAAATAAAAAAGAAGAAACATCACAATGACTCTCTTGTGGATCCAACACTAGGTCCTGGAGCAGAAAGGCCATGGGGGAGATCTGGCGAAACGGAAATAATCCGCACCAATAATCGCTTGATTTTTGATCACTGATGTCTGTTTGTCAATTTTTAACACTAATAAAAACTAGATGAAAAACATTAGTTTTGATGATTTTCTATAAATCTAAGATAATTTCAAAATAAGTGGTAAAAAAGAGTTAATGAGAAATATAAGGTCAAAATCCATTTCAGTTTTTGTTCACTCCTCTAATAAGGAAGTTTTTTTTTTTTTTTATCTCAGTTCTCAGAAAATTGATTTCCATTTAGTTCATTCTTACTTAATCTACATTTTTCAACGAAGCATCTGCATTAAAAATCTCTCTGCAAATCTGGCTTGCATTCCCAACATGGAAGCGGATAGCGGGCCCTTCTCACGCTCACAGTCGAATGGGGTTTTCAACTCACAGCCCACACCCACATGAGCCTCTTCCTTGTCATCATGGAAACCCACACACCCGTATCTGCCCTGCTGCGGGAGCATCCCGCACAGTTGCTAATGGAGTTGGGACCCAGCTGGTGGGCGGCGGCGGGCAGAGGTGGGGCTGGGACGGCAGCATGGGCTGCTCTCCACACCGGCCAGGCGGGCCCGGGCCTGCCCTGGCTCTGTGCGCGTCTGGGAAGCCCGTGGCTGGCTGTTCCGTCAGCCAAGCTACTTCTCTCTGCAGTGAGAATTTTTCAATGCCATGGAGAATGTCAATGCAACCAGACAATGCCCCAAATAAGCAATGATTTCACTGGGTTTTATAGGTCCCTTGATAGCCAAAAGCAATTACAGAGAAGTTGGGAGAAGCCCCTGGGGGTCCGAGGGCCGAGCCTGCCTGCGCCTGCTTCTGTGTTGGCGAATACAAGCACATTCTTCAGAGTTGAAGCTGCAGAATTTTATGTCTCCATGCTGAAGTCGCGTAGAAAGAGATAACACGCGTCTCAGGGCATTTAGGCAACAGGCAGCTGGGAGGAAAACAGGAGAGCGGTGCCAAGCGCTGACCCCACGGGCAGCGTGGACTCTGGCGAAGGCGGCGAAGAGGAGCTCACTCTCGGGGGTCGCGCACGCTCGCTTCGCTCTCACAGTTAAAAAAGTGAGCTAGTGAATAAAGATCACCAGCGTGCCTTCCGCTTGCCAGTCTCAGCGTCCCTGGGGCTGGCGCCAGCTGCAGCAGGAGCACCTCCCAGCGCGCCGCTTCCCTGCGTGTCTGCCGGCCCGGCAGCTCCGGCCCCCCCAAGCTCTGTGGCCTCTCAGGGCGTGTCTCTGCATCTCCCCCCATCACAGCCCCATCTCCCCGTCTCCTCCACGCCCACACCGCCCCTCTCTCGTCACCGCCACGCAGCTTTCTGGGCTGTGGTCTCCTGTGGGTTCACGCATCTTCCATCTAGAAGACTCTGCGGCAGGCCCGGCTCTCATTCTACACGCATGTTAGCAGCATCCCCCATCACACCTCCCTCTCCCGCCTGACCCCCATCCCACTGGAAACCGACCCTCCTCTTCAGTTATCACATAACCACATGCTCCAGGCTGGGGCCGAGCCCACTCATCTCTCTCCTGCCAGCTCCTCGTGGCTACGGCTTGAGCTACCATCTAGAGGCAAAAGACTCGCAGAGCAACTAACCACCTGTGAACTCGTGCGCTGCATCCCGCGTGCTGGCTGCGTGCTGTGCCCTGGGGTCCGAGATGGGTTCCGATGAGCACCAGCACCTACATCCTCACCTCTGAGTCCAGACTCAGAGCCCATCTATCTCCTCCTGGGTAGCTTAAGGTGTCCCACATTCTACCTGGCAAGGCCTCTCGCACTTCAGTCCATCCCCCACCAATGCATCAGTAGCAAACCCCACGGCTTCTTCCCCATGTTACCCGGCAGTATCCAGCTTGTATCCCAGGATAGATTGGTGCCATGTCCACAAGGCCCCGCCCTGGTCTGTGCGGTCCTGCCCATCCTTCCTCTGCCCAAGCGCTCCCACGTCTGTCCATAGCATCCGCCAGGGACCCCTCGCCTCTGCTGTAGAGCCGCTGGGTGAGTGAGGTCCTCTCCCCAGCACAAAGGTCTTAGCTTAACCATGAAGCCCTTACGGCACCTTAACTCCCAGCCCAGGCCAGGCTCGCTGTGTTATACACCGAATGTCACCCACTGAGCACACCTCTGGTTTTGCAACTTTTGGAAAGTTTTGATGCTGTGATCAGCAGCTATTTCTGCTCAGGATACCTCAGTTTGATGAGGATAAGCATGGTGATCCCTTACCCCTTCACACCAGCATGTGGGAGCAGGCCTGGGGCTACCACATGGGGGGACAATAAGCGTCCTGCTTGAGGAAAGGTGAGGTGTGAGTTTAAACGAGGTGATTTTGAGTTTGGAATTATTCAGATACTAAAATTCACCCTTTTCTTTCAAAATGCCTCTGAATCTTGCCTTTGGTAATGTCAAAATAAGCCACCGACATCAATGGTCTTGGTCGTGTGACTCTAAGATCTAAAAAGTTGGACCCGTTAGATTGACTGCCAAGTGCCTGCGGTGTTGATGACGAAAACCTCTCTCAGGAGCTTGTGTGAATCGGCCCGTGGGACAAACACGGGGTCACCACACATGTGGACCCTCAAGTGTGTCCTCAGCCTCACCCCAACTTGTGAAAGCCCAGGAGACCAGCTGTGGCAACCCCAAACAGCACAAGCAAGGAAATGGAGAAATCAAACATTGTCGAGCAAAGTTCTCATGTTACTCATCATGACAGGAAAGTGTGAGAATATCACAAGGGAAATACCACATATTTTGTAGTTTGCAGAAAATAATTATTTGGAAAAACAGCTATATTTCAAAGCATTTAAAAAAATTGTAATTAATACGAAAGCAATTAGGGATCTGCAGGTTGACTATATATTCACCGAAATGCCATATTTGTGGCAGGAAATGTGTGGTCTTCTCTCTACTGGTCTGCGTGAGTCACACCAGCTCTCTTCCACAGAGCCCACCCTCAAGCCCTCTCCACTGATGATCACTGCACAGTAAGGCTGATATAAATGAACGCCATTCACGAGTAAGAGAACTGTAAAAGCTCTGCTACTTTCACTAAAACTAAGATCTTAATTTTACACGTAGAAGCTCAAAACAAAAAGAGGCCTTTAGTCCATTATGACAGAAAATAGCTAATATTTTGGCTCAGAAATTCAGCAAAGACGGAAGTTCCACTTAATTGATTGTGAGATGCCTGATGGTCTAACGAAGACCGCGCTGTCCTTATTTCGAGAGTTCCGCTATCTAATAAGGTTGTGATGTATTTTACAAAGCATTGTTTTTCAGAAATTAGAGGAATTAACACATTGATACACAGCAAATAGAGAAACCGGTAAACAGATACATAGGTATAGTGAAGCCTAAACGGGGAAGTAATACCAAAACAAAGAAATACCTTCAAGAGGGATATGTTGTTCTCTATAAATCAAAGTCAATAACATTTCTAGAAATGGATGCTTTGAGTTCCCACCACATATTATCACACTGACTGATGGCCACTCACCGCATGAAGAGGGGGCTTACGAAGCTGGCACCTCTGGAGATCTGTAAGAGAAGAGAAGGGTTGAGATGAGAGAGGCGGGGTCTGCAGTTCACCCCACTATGGAGTCAGCACATGAGTCCCCTGTTACTCTGACAGGTGAAGGCATCAGAGTGGACTGTCCACTCTCAGTTGGACCCCAGGTACGGAGGAGGTCCTCAGTGTCTTCTCGTAGGAACCGGAATGTCCAGTCCCAGCCGTTCCTATCAAGCTGAGAAAGCGATGCTGCAAGAATATCTCAGTAACTACCATGAACACAGTTTGGGGAATGACTTGTCCACACACAGTTTGGGGAATGACTTGCCCTGTAACATTCTCGTTCCTATTTTAATTATATATTGAAAAATGTCAAGGGTTCTCCAGTGTTTATTCCTTCATTTGACCACTAATTAATTCATCATAATTGCGCTGATCCCCTACTATATGGAAGGCTTTATATTTACAGCTGTGTGAAACATTTTTGCAAAAAAACAAAGTTAGAAAACCATGCACTTTTAATACACTGGAAAATTCTGATTCCCATCAACATAATGCTGGGGAGCTGGATGTGATTTGGACAAATGAAGATATAAGATAGAGAAATACCAGTTACCTATTTTCGAATCTATTTTTCTCAATGTACCAGAGTAGAGGGTGAGGTTTGTGAACAGAGATGAGAGGATCTGAAGTTCTTGACCTTGACTGGAATATCAGGGTATTTCTTGGCCGTTGTAGCGCTCGGCAGTGAACACGCCTTTCCCTCGCCCTTCCTAATCAGTAAAGACCCAGAGTAAGCAGAGGGCTTGCTCCTCAGGGAGCCAGGAGACAGCCACGTGGGCCCCGGCGCCCACCGCTCACGTCCACGCTGTGCCGAGGCAGAGACCAAGGACGCAGACAATCGCCCTCCCTCAGTCCAGCCAGGGCCCCAGCGTGGGCAGCCAAGCTCGCCTTCTGCGGCCAGCTGAGTGTCAGGAGAGCGGGGTCTGCTCCTCTCTGGAGCGCCAGCCCCGGCGACACGCAGCACAGCCTTCTCCACAGCACCCTGGCCGGGTTCCTGTGACCCTCCCCCTGGGGTTGCCTCTCCAAGCCGCCTCCCTCCGCCCATAGAATCCGAATACAATTTGCTGCACACTACACCGTCCCACGTCGTGCTTAAGCAAAGCCAGGATTTCAGGAGCCCTGCCTCTCCCGCGTCCACGCCTCCTGCTGGCCTGTCGGCCTCCGTGTGCTGAGAAAAAAATCCTAGTGGAGACGCCGGCCTGGTGGTTTCACCCCTCACTTCTCAGGCCTGAGGCCACTTTCCTCATTTCTCAGATCCAGGGAACCTGCCCCAGGGCCCAAGAGTGCAAGAGACGGGGCCTTGTTCGCATTAAGGAGAAACAGCAAAAGGCCTGAACCACTTAGAGCTCAATTTTTATTGCTAATGAACCAGTATAGACCCTCCAAGATGCCCCTCCCTGCATTACCGGGAGGGAGATGAGTAAATCAAAAATAAAGACTATTTAAATAGTTAAGCTGGTCCGAGACTTCTGAATTTATTTTAAGGGCTAAAAGCATACGCATCTATGACCCCTGACGCGAAATGTTCCTTCTCATACATAGAACAATTTTGCATGTGTTTTTTCCCCCCAGATTTCTCCACTTAACCACAAGCCAGGCCTCTCGGAGCCGGACTGGAGCCGAATGGATTGATTGCGCCCGATGCTGTGGAAACAAAGAGAATCACTCACACCTGTAAGCTGAATTCCGCGTTGGCATGAAGAAACCCCGCTGGCCACGGCAGCACAGGCGAGCCTCCTTCCTCATGGCCTGCGCTGCCCTCGGGTGCGCGTGCTCACCGGCTGGCCAGGCTGATGGCCGAGGGCGCGGCTCGGGGCCCGCCGCCTGAGGACCCGCACGCCGCTGCTCGGACCAGCGCTGGCCGGGCTCTGAGACTTTGCCTTTAAGAACTATCAGGAAAACCTGTCAGAGGCATCTCCACATGCAAAATACAAGCCATCCTCCAGCAGGGCCAGTGCTGCCTCCCTCCCCTTCCTGAACCTTGCGCATCTGTAATGATGGAAACGGATTTATGATCAAAACTTGGGGGTCTACACCGGTGACTTTCCATGACTGACCTGGCGTCTCAGACACTGGATTTCTGACAGCACCGCACGACTGGAGGCCTCACAAGCGCAGCGGCTCTGAGGCATCTGTGAGCCACTGTGCATCTCCTCCACAGACATGTGTCCGGTGCCCGCTGGGTGTGCATCCCTGCGTCCTCATCTGTGTCTGTTTCCAGTGGGGAGATTTTTGGAGAGTCTTCACACAGTGCTGGGGTCTGCTGGCACCACCACCCAAAGCAGCCCCGGGGGAGGGGAGCGGAGGCAGCCTCAGGCACTCCCACCACCTGCACGCTGACCTGCCGTACAGAAGCAGACAGTGAGGTACCTGCAGGTGCAGCTCCTGAGGCAGCACAGCCTCACTTCACAGCTCAGGCCCTGCTCACAAGTCAGAGTTTGAGGAGAACCAAATTAACTCATACATAGGAGAGAGCCTGGCACGCGGTCAGCACTCACCTCAAGTCAACTCTGACATGGAGGGGCTCAAAGGATTTTTTTTAAGTAATAGAACAAATCAAGTGTCTGTTCTTAATTACTTTCTTGCCAAACCTTAACATCCAGCCCCTCCTCACTCTGGCGTGTTCCCCCACTCCTGGTTGTGAGCCCCCTCTGGGGTCCCCCCACCTGGCATGCGTCTGCTTTGTTCACGGCACCCTGGTAACCACGCGGGTGAGTCACACGCTTCTCTGCTCGTACTCCAGCCACCCCATCCCCCCCAGAGCTCCTCCTTCCAGAGCAACCACCGCCTCCCGCCCCCTTTCTACCTGAGCAACTCGGAGTTTAACGAGGCTGACAATTAGCCGAACTCGTCTTGTTCCAAGCTGACTCCCGCAGCAAGGGAGAAAAACCCGAGCAGACACATGGGATAGGGTGAAATCGAGACTCCCACTTTATTTTAATCTCACTTTGGCATTTAGGCTAATGTTTTCCATTTCACTTGCTTCTCTAACTTAAATCAAGGTTAAAGACAATTTCTGTTTCACTTAGTTTCACGAATAGAACTTTGAAGACCTGGGTATGAGGCTGATTTTTCTCTGTAGTCGAGCAACTTTAGAGTTAGTGAATATTAAACAGAATCTCAGCAACACAGAGCGAGAAGCTCAGAAACTAGCCCATCGAGCCCCTCATTTCAGAGGGGAGGAGGTGACATTCTCCGGAGAGGGCCCTAAGGGCTACGTGGAAAAGTCTGTGGCCCGAGGAGCGACCTCTGCTTCTCCCAGGCCTGTCCACGCCTCACCGCACACCCCACTCGGGCTGCACAACACACCGGCCAGAGCTCTGCCCGCCGTCCACCCACGCAGGCTGGAGTGGCCGGGGCACTGCCAGAGCCGGTGGCGGAAAGAGAACTGTAGCTCTTTTTGATCTATTTGCCTTTTTATTCATATTTTATGAGCACGGTAACCCGCTCACTCATAAAGTGCCTGCACATAATGTGGCTATACATCAACATTTTAAAATGTGCTCTAAAAGAGCACATGCACACATAACTACATATTTTCTTTTAAAATTGAGGCACAATACACCGGATCCACAGAGCACCGAAATTAAAAATGATGTTACGGAGCACAGCTCAGGTTTCCTCCTAATCTCAGCGGCCTCACTGATAAAGCAAAGGAGATATGAGTGATGTCTCCGCCGGGAGCCCGGCTGTGGGGAGCGCACAGACACCTGCAGGCGGAGCCGAGGGGAGTCCAGGCCAGGCTGCCACCCCCACCTGACGCCTCTGCTCACAAAGCAATCTCCAGCCTGGGACTCCTGGTGGCCAGGAGATATTTTTCACATTTTCAGTCTAATTTCAGGCTTGCCAATGCCAATTTTAAAAAGAAAAATAGTCCTAAGTAATGGAATAATATTAAGATTTTTCTGGCAAAGTCTGAAATCAAAAGACATTTTAAAAAGAGGAGTAAACCACCCCTCGTCCTGCCGGCGCTGCAGCCAGGGCCGCGGTCGCCGGGGCCTGCGCTTGGTTTCCTCAGAGTAACAGGCCCGGGGTCGGGGCCGGGCCGCGAGGAAGAACCGCGGCGGATCTTCGCTTCAGAAAGTCGTCATTTGTCAAACACTAACCCCAGCGGAGACTCGGCTTCACATCAAGCTTTCGCGGATTATTGCTCAGAGACAAAACCACAAGCAGGCGCCGCGGGCCTCGCGAGCAGGTGGCCGCTGCCCGCTCCCCCGTCCACGCGGCGCCCGGGTCGGGCCAGCGGCCGAGCCCGCGCAGGTTCTCCCCGAGTCCCGCGGCCCCCGTGGGCAGCGGCGGCGCCGGGCTGTCTGGACCTGCCTCTCCAGGCGTTTCCAGAACTGACCCTGGGCCCGACTCGCCCTCCCGGGCCGCGGGCACCGCCCCTGGCCGCGCCCCGCCCGCCGCGCCGAGGCCCAGCCCAGGAGAACCGCGAGCGCCGGGCCAGGGAACAGCAACCGCCGGCCCGGTCCAGTCGCGCAGCCCTTGGCGGCCCCTGCGCCCGTGGCCCCAAGACACGCGCACCCGGAGCCCCCGGCCGCCTGCCCACTCCGTGTGCGCGGCCCGCGCAGCCCCGAGGGACGCGCCGCAGGGCCCGGCTCCCGCCCGGGGCCGCCTCTTGGGGGAGGCTGGGCGCGCAGGGGCCCGCGGGCCTCCACGCCCGCCCCCGCGCCCGCGCCCATCCCGCGCCCGTCCCGCGCCCATGCCCGCGCCCATGCCCGCGCCCGTCCCCGCGCCCGTCCCCGCGCCCATGCCCGCGCCCGTCCCCGTGCCCGTCCCCGCGCCCGTGCCCGCGCCCATGCCCGCGCCCGTGCCCATGCCCGCGCCAGTGCCCACGCCCATCCCTGCGCCCATGCCCGCACCCGTGCCCGCGCCCATCCCATCCCAGCGCCCATACCCGCGCCTATGCCCGCGCCCGTCTCTGCGCCCATGCCCGCGCCCATGCCCGCCCCGGGGGCGTGGGGCCGGGCGGCCGCGCCCTCCCAGAGCGTCAGGCTCGGTGGTCCCTGCGCTTCGCATGGTCCTGAGCTCCTGGCGCAGAGTTTTCCATCGGAAACCGACTGTTCCGTAAGTCAGCGCGGGAGCGAGCAGCCGCGTAGCAGCCCGGCCGCCTCCGCTGCCTCCGTGGCTGAGCCTGAGGCCCGGCAGCTCCTCGCCCAGCAGCGGGCGGGATCCGCGGAGCTGCCCGCAGGAGACAGAGAGAGCGCATCCGCTGACGAGTCCACGGAAACAACAGACGGACAAGCCAAGGCGAGCCGGACAAGCAAGGTCCTTAAGATAATTTAGAGAATAAAAATAGAAGTGAAAGTTTGTCCCAAGATGCTTGTTTTTAAAATTGAAAATCAGTAAAATAATCAAACCTGTAACACAGCTTCATAATCTAAATTCTAAGAAGCAATTTTCTGATAATGTTTCTCAGAATTCCTCGTGCCACGCGACTGACATGTACATTTAATTGATGGTGTTTTATTCCCCTCCGCCGTTTGCTACCTGAATGGCCTTCCTTGAAACCGATGGCGTCTAATGAAAACACAACCAAAGTTAAGGGGGAAAATGCACGACAAAATTAAGTATGATACAGAGAAGCAATTACAGCCCTTTTAGGCAGTAGATTAATTTCAAGATAGAAGGTCACCCGGCGACATACACAACTGCGAGGTGACGGCACAACCGGTTCTGTGGGGAAGGAGAGAGGCCGAGGGACAGAGACCGAGGGGAAGGCCGCCCCGGCCCAGGCGGCCCTCGGCACCCAGCGGCTCAGGGGAGGCTGCCTCCTGTGCCCGCACAGTCCTTGCGCTGTGCGCCCCGGCATCTGTGCCCCCCGCTGCTCTGATGAGCAGCTGGGTGATGCACCCTCGTGAGCGTGGGTGTGACATCCCGTGACGGCACAGACACGGTACAGCCCTGACGGGCACAGACGGCTCCAAAGGCAGGGTCACTGGAGAAGGTGCACTTCTGGGCTCCTCCTCCCGCCAGATTCCAGGGGCGTCCTGGAGGGCCTGGGGCGCTCTGATAGATGTTCAGCACGTGTTCTGTCCTACACACAACTTCCCAGGGGATGCCGTCTGGTGTGGGGGAAGAGAACAGAACTGAGCTCGCAGATGACGGGTGTTCACAGAGCGACCACGAAGTAAGTAACTCTACAGAATCATCTCAAGCCGACCTTCCTTGCAAACCAGCTCTGGCCCCCCACGCGCAGGGCACCCCACAGTGCCTCAAAAAAGTCAGGCAAGTCCTGGTTCACAGCAGGGGCATCTGGGCAGTGATTCTTTATTTCTCAACTGACTCAACATGGTGAGGCAGTTCCCATTGTCAGAGGCGCTGTGATCATCGTGGCCGCGGCCCTGGGGCTGAATAGCACTTAACCCAGCAGAGGAAAGCAAGGGCGGTGTGAACAACCCCCACACCCCACGCACACAGGCCTTGAAGAATGAAAGAACAGGGAAGAGCCCCCAGCCTTTGGGTTCAGACCTAGGATGTATGTAAGTGAGCCCCTCACACAGGAAGGTAAAGGAAGTGGTGAAATGAGGCCTCAGCAGCCCTGCAGTGAAAGCATTAAACAGATTAAAGATCCTGGCCTTTGCCTGGGAGAAGACACACACATTCCCGGTGGAGACCCCCCAGGAGCCCGGGCACCCCTGGAGCCCTGGCTTGCCATGAATAATTCATCCCCATCTATCTTCTGAAGAGGTGTTAAATTGCCCTTTTGGCATGTCTCTGGTTTCTGAGGAATGTGTTCACACCTCATTATCACTCCATGATGGACTCCAGGGAGAGTGTGTAATTGTCTTCCAACCAAGGGCTTTGTCAGCCCAGCCATGCACAAGTCCAGGCCAACAGAACCTCCCCACTGACAGGACAGGACAGGACAGTGAAAACCCCCCAAGAAATCAGGGTAGCCTCGCGGGCGCCTCCCTCTCCCTAAGAGCCCCGCGCTTTCCCCCACTGCCCCTGGGATTAGAAGGCACCGGCCCCACCTTCCAATTTTTTCAAAGTTAAAGTCTCTGAAAAGGAAATATTAGGGAAATTAGTTTCCGAAAGTGCCATAAAGACCTATTTCCCCAAATCACACAACTTCCCTGGACCGTGCACTTATGAAATAATCACGAGGAGTCATTTGCCGCTTCAGGCAATTTCACTGTTTTATTTCCATGAAATTCTAAACACCTGAAGGGCCAGCACTCTCCCTCCTTCTGGGCCGGGGCCGGACCCTGCCGAGGATGCAGCGGCTCACGCCGCCCAGCCGGCTCTCCACTCGCGCCCAGACG